GCGCCTCCTGGCGGTCTCCTTTTAGCAGGAAATTGCCAAGGAAAGGATCTATGATAATACTCAGGGTAGTTCTCTACTGTTTGAGGTCAGGACAGGAGTATTGCGAACCAAGACATATCAGGCCAAATACGAAGGGGTAGACACAGTATGCAGTGCCTGTGGAGAGGAGGAGGAAACTGCCGAACACTTGATAATGTTCTGTAAAGTGCATCTTCATCCTATAGTTCAGAATGATGCCGCAGAGTTCTTCAAAGCACTGGTGTTTAGGGACATGGAGGGCAAAATAGACTAAGCGAGTAGCATTAACTAGAAGGAGGTTATCTGATCGGTGGCTAAAGTCAAGACACGAGTGAAAATTTAACCCTTCACTGCAAAGTACCAGTCCTCAACTTCACTATTAAAAAAAAAGATAAATCTAGTTTTTGGTTCACTAAGTATGATGGCTAGGTGGCGTTAGCCACCACCCGACCTAAGCGGTACAGCCATATCAATCCATTAATCCATCCCGCAGCGCCATCTTTGGTAGAAAGGTAGAAATCGGGGATGTAGATGGCGCGTTTTTTCTCCGCTCCAATGCGCTGCCGCTCGCTTACGTTCTCGTGCAGATAGCGCGCGCTCCGTTTGAGTCACCTCACTATGTAGCGCCTGCAGTGCGGCTTCACAAAGATATCTAAGCCGGACAAGCACTTCCGAGAAGCAAATTGAACAAAAGGAGTAAAGCTCGATAGTCCAGTTTATGATGTGGAGCAGATGACGGAAGAGGAGGACGCCCGAGTCACTGCAAAATACTCCTTGATAATATCGTGTACGACGTATGCCTCGAGGTAAGGCTGTGTTGACGTTTATGGAAACCATATAATTGTTATTTTGATGTGGTATCTAGCAGTAGCAACCGTGTACTGTCATGTGCAAATGTTTGTGGCGTGCTGAAAAAACAAATAAAAACTAAAGTCATACGGTCATGGCATTAAAATGTTCGAGAAGATTTAGAGTCATGTCCTCCATGCCGCGTATGACCCACTGACGTCACCACGAAGCAGCAAGCTATGTTTAACCACAGCGAGTCTAGTTGATGTGCTCGCCTTTTTTTTTTCCGGCTCTCATGTCGTGCTTGCTCTATCTTTCGCGAACGCGGCTGTGACTAGGTGGGAAACTGATACAGCTTTACACGTGGGGAGCGTCCCTTAATGTTTTCTGCATTGTTGTAGCAACCCACGACACAATACTTCGGACCTCGGCGACGCTTCCGTGGGGCCGCTTCTTCCATCGTGGAAAGACAACTTCGCACATCGAGCGTCTCATTTTAGCGCGCCAAGATGATGGCACGGCGCCAAGTTCCCCCGCAGCGACTGCAGAACGCGTTGCGCGTGTGTCGCACGCGCTTCCGTTTCGGAGAAACACACTCACTCACCTGCGACCACTCCCGCGTCTCTCCTCAAGTGTTCCGGAGCTTGCCGCCAGGGCCAGGAGTGGCGTTGTCATCGCTCCGCAAACTTCAGCTTCGGTTCCCTATAGAACAGTGTTTGTTCTCTTCATTCGCCGTCATGGCTACGGGTGGCGCTAATGTCACTCGGTTTTTTTTTTTTTTGGTTGCGGTTTCACACAGACTCGATGGATCTATCAACATAGAATCAGATGAACAAGCGGTCCAACGAAGTTCCCACAACGCGGGTCCTTCGGCTCGATTTCGCCGTCCATAACGTAACCCAGATGATTTGCATTGCAGTGCCACGCATATCGCAAGGCAGGTATGAAAGATGCACCCTGAATATACAAGCCTTAACGACTGGAAAATAATGTATGTGCTGCCTTGCCAATTCCTTCGCTGTGAAGAAGACACACAGCATAATAATAACAGTACATGAGGCAGCTTCAGGGCTTCCTGGGTGCACACCTGTATAACACATACAGGCCGCTCTGGGATTACCCAGTTGCACTTCCAAAAATCAAATACTGGCCCTGGGGCTGAGTAACACTTTCAAAGATCGATGGAGGCGAAAATGGCGAGGCCTTACAGTTAGGTGTACGTTAAAGAATTCCAGGTCGCCGAAATTTCCGGAGCCCTCCACTATGGCGTCTCATAATCATATGGTGGTTTTGAGACATTACACAGCAGCTATTATTATTGTACTTTCAAAGAGCTCTAGGCAACTGCAGTACTTTGTTCACAGTCAAGTTAACTGTGGTTACAACCAACCACGGTTAACTGCATTGAACCCCGGCTAGCGTCAACGGTTCACCAATGTTACACAGCGCAAAAGCGTTCTCAGTTAAAGTGGCATTGGTTAAGGTGGCCTTAATGGACCCTGCCATTTCTTTGGGTAACCGCCAAATTGAGGTTGCCAAGCTCAGTTTCCTATACAACCATGGTTAGGGGTGCAACGATGGTTTCACGTACTGTGTAAGATAAGCGTACCAAGGTTACATGCAACCACGCACGGTTTAGAGTGCCTGTGTAACAAAGATATACAAGTCAGGTGCAGCGTCTCAACTGCACCAGCACAAGAAGGGCACTCCTGAACAGAGTAGGTATACCCCCACACTCAATACTGCATGAAACACACGGTTCTAGCCCCCTCCGATGCCAGAACTAAACTAAGATTTGCACCCATGCCAAGAAGCATGCACTCCAAATGCAGAGAAGACACAAATAACGTGTTCAACCCCCCCCCCCCCCTTCACACAGTTTATGCGATACAGCACCACTAAGGCTGGATACACCAGCAATTAAAGACATGAGTGCACAGTCGTGTCTGCTGAAGCGAGGTCACCCCCGGCACCGTCCACAATCCATGGCAACAGACTGCAGAGATTCTCTGCCGCAATGGTCCGGGTCTTCACGGAAATGCGCGCACAGTCACGGCTCCAACCATTCAATTAAAGAAACTTCTTTCAATCAATGAAGTTTCCCTATTTCTGTTAAGTAATCGACATTTGTGACGGGGCTGGTGAACACTCTTTATTTACACATGTACCTCAGCAGACGAAGGGTGCACCTGCTGGCTTTCAGTGTGACGTACGACCCGACAGTCGCCTTAGAAACAGAGGAATCCTTACCTCAGAGGTAATGCCGAGGGAATGCATGTTCTAGGCCATGCCTTTGTCACAAGTCGCTCTGGCGAGTCCTAGTAGAGGCGATTTGTTTTGGCTTCAAAAAACAGCTGTTGGGGAGCTGATCATGATGCTTGTGCTAGCACTTCAAATGTCCGAATTTCTATGAAGGCTTCTCTACAGTACCGTCAAACCCCTTTATAACAGACACTGATATGAGACAATAAGTAAGGAGAGACCAGTCTACCTACACTAAAATAGGTGTTGATAAAAAATGCATAAGTGGTACAATGCGTATAAGACACAAGAATTAGCTGTCCGGAGCATACCGTATTTACTCGATTCTACCGCGCCCTCGATTGTAACGCGCACCGGGTTTCCACGACAAAAAAAATAAAAATAAAAGTAAGACATCGATTGCAACGCGCATCCATTTTTCTCGTTGGCCCACACGATCACACCACTCGGGAAAAAGACTCCTTTCGGGAGCGTCTTCCGTTTAAATATGAGATACGGGGGAAGCTTGTGCCTATCTGACGTGCAACGGAGCATTGCCGTCACTAGTTTTACCGTGGCCCGATGTCAGCACGCGAACTTGCTTCGCCCCCTTCTTCTCGACGGTTGTGGTGCCAGGCATGTCGAAGTAAAGAGGCGTCTGATCGGCATTCCCGATTTGCCCAAGCCGGGAGCCTTTGTTGCGCCGCAAGTTTAGGACGAACCTCTGAAAACTCTGAAGCTTTTCATCGTACTCCTCCGGCAACTTTCGGCATATGCCCGTTCGCCTTCAGAGGGAAAAGCCTTTCCTCTTCATAAAGTTAGTTAGCCAACACCTGCTCGCATTAAGCTGGCTCCGCATTAGCCCTTTTTCTAAGTCTAACTGCATAGCCTGCACTTGGAGCAGTTCTGTCGTCACGGGCCGCTGTGCCGCTCACTGCTCAATCACATACTCGCCGAGCAGCTCTTCAATTTGCGGAAATCGACCCTGCTGTGGTCCGCTGAAGCCTTTGCGTGAATCTTTGCTGTCGACAATATTCTGCTTTTGTTTCCGCCAGTCCCGCACGCACGATTCGGGAACTCCGAACGACCGCGATGCAGCCCGACTTACGTCCGTTTCGGCACAGGCGATGACTTTTCTTTTAAAAACGGCATCGAGGTGCACTCGTCGAGATTTTGGAGTCGGCCCTTCCATGCCGTTGATGCTAATGCACACCAAGATGACGAACTTCTCAGCACACGTACTAAGTGCCGCTGATGGGAAACACATAGGCGAAAATGGCCGACGCGCCATGCAGACGCACGTAGGAGGTGGCCATTTTGGAATGCCGATGGCAATAAAATGATCGTATTCATTTCTTTTTTTCATACTCGATGCTAATGTGCATGCGATTTATGAACTCGTTTAACCGGAAAAAAGGTGCGCGTTAGATTCGAGTAATTACGGTACTTTTAATAAACGGGTTCAACTGTGTATAAAACTAGGAATTTCATGCAGTCTAACATTTTGTTTAGGAATGTCTTCATGCTTATCATTTCAGAGCTCCCTCAGTCTTGAAAGTGGTGCAAGAAATTCAAAAAAGTAAAAATATTGAATTCTAAAATACATTCAGTTTAAATATTAATAGGTCCATATTGCAACCTGCCTAACTTCATCCCCTCAAGGCTTGAAGCAACAGGAACTTGCGTGAATGTTCACAGGTGCTATGACAGAGCAGCAAACTTCAAATTCTAATAATGGTTATCCTTTTTAAAAGAGAATGGTCGAGTGCAATAAGGTTTTACATAAATTGTATACTTCACCTACGTTTGATACAATTTTTTACGTGCATACCTCAGTGATTACAATTTTCACTTGGCAGGCTTCTGACATCATGAAGTTTGAACAAAACTGCATTCTAACCTTAGGTATAATTCAAAGGGACAAAAATGCCTCAACAAAACAAGACCACTGACATGAAACATTAACACAACTTTATTTGAACACACGGTACTAAAACTGTGTAGAGCAGTAAAAATTGCACTGGTGATATCTTTTATGAAAAATATTTGCACATAACATCACAGCCCTGCTGTCAACCATTCCATGACTGGGGCTTGTAACACGAAAACAAAAATATCACAGTAACATTATATTTATCAGGTACTTACAACTTATGCACTGTATTTAAATACAGGCATTTAAACAACATTCAAGTGCTTAAAAAAACAGACAGCTACAAATGATTGCAGATGTGGCCTCGTAACTGGACATTTGTCTTATCAGTCCAATCGCCTTTTCTTTAGTTGCACACCTCCCTCTTCCTTCAGCTGCATTACTGATTCAACATTACCTAGCTCCAACGCCTCCACTTCCATTTCAGTTTCTGGCTGCTGCGCTGGTGCCTCTTTTCCTTGAGCACTTCCTTCTTGCTTTTCTTCCAAAGCTGGTTCTTCCAGCCCTGGCTCTTCTGAGGCTTGTACAACTCCTCCTTCTGGCCCTGGCTCATCCGTCAGCTGCAGTGCTGGGACGTCATTTGGATCAGATTTCACACGAGACTGGCTTCCTGGGCTGCACAAGATCAAAGCAGTTAATGGGGGAGGTGGGTCTTTAGACAACTTTTCTTATTTTTAGTGCCAGCTAGATGAAAATGGGCATTCTTGAGCAGTTTGTTACGCTGATTTCAAATCTGTAATTAGTTTTTTGATAGCTGCAATAGTTCATAAAATATTGAAGTCTGAAATCAAATTAGCTTCATACTCGTTACGGGGCTTTATGAAAATTTAGTCTTGCTAAACCAAAATCTGAATGCCTGACACTGTTGCTAAAGATCTACTGTAGGGGGTGATGCTATTTTTATTCATTCAGAAGCATTTTACATGAAAAAAAAAGGATCATGAAATTACTATGAACATTTTTTTCTAAATAGCAGCCACTGCTACATCTAACTAAATTTCATGGGAGTGCACGAGTGATGAAAATAGCATCACCCCCCCGATCATTTCAATACGGATAAAATCATACCACATTTGCCATTTCTGCTCAAATATAACACAGAAAAAACACCCGTAAGGCTGAGTACAGTGTGTAAAAACGCATTTGAAGTTTCAACCCAAAGTAGCTTTTCTTGAAATTAACTTACCACAATACAAATGAAACTGTTTTGTAGCTCTGTGTTTTGTGAACAGGGCCGTACTAAATGCGTGACTGCAGACTCTCAAAATAATAGTTCAGTGACCACCGAAACGGCATGAGAAACTGTATTTACAACGCTGTGTGTCTGTTTCAGTACACAGCAAGCAAAATAGCACTTGAACAGCATGATAGCAAACACTTGAATAGTATAATCAAGTGGCTCTTCCATAGACAGCATTTCTACGCACAATGTTCCAGTCCAAAATGCAATTTTTGTCGAAAAATTGCCACTGCTGTCCACTGAAACTGCCCTACAGCTTACCAGGACTGTAGGCCGAGTCTCTTGCTGGTTTGTGTCGCTATGCAAGGAGGGTTTTTGTTGAACAGCTGTCAGTGTGCTTTTTCTTAGACTTCTCCAGCCTGATGTTGTCTTTTTCGAGGCTGCAGAGCACGGAGCGATCTCCAGGGCTGTACCCTAGTTTTTCCGCAATTCCCGCATTGCTCCTCGTGACACATTGGTTGAAGCGGCTGACAGCTTCAGCCACTGCCCTTTCGACGCTGCGCAATGAGGCGTGCTGCGTTTTCGAAACCTGCTGCCAAATCACAGAGTGCAAACTTTCACTGGGGTTCTGCGCGAGGCCGTCGCTGCATTTTTCCAGAAGGACTGTCTCACTAAGGCGCGTGAACACGGGCTCCAGTGCCTCGCACACAAAGTCGGGCAAGCTATGGTCGTGCGGCGGCAGCTCCTCATTGTTGGCCTCAGCCCTGTTGAATTTGCACCATGACTCGGGGCCTTCAGGACAAAGCTCATGCCCGGGTGTCTGGTCAGTGAATGACATGTGCTTCAGCGTGGCCAGCACAGCCTTCTGCATCCCTGGCACATCATGCTTGTGACTGCGCAAGGCATAACCATAGTAGGAGGCGATCATCTTGATTTCATCCTGAGTCAGCCTGCCCTTACCACCAAGTGGCTGACCTTGAGCTCTTTTTTTTGTCGCTGAGAGTACGCAAGGCTGCAAACATTCGTTTATGCACATGGTTTATGCAGTCTTTTTTTGCCACCTTGATGTAGCCGTAGACTTCTTTTGTTATGAGGGCGTGGTAGGTATTGCTGTCCCCATCTGAAAGCATTGTCGTATATCAAAGCTTATGCTTTTCGAGTTCCGCTGGAATAATAGAAGGGCTGCTTCCACTTCCATTTGACCAGCCTTGCAATGAATATTTCTGTGGCACACAGGTGCATGATCAACAAGCCAGGCAGCGTATCCTTCGTCATTTTCTTTAGGTCCCCAGGTGCACCCCTAACAAAAGTTTGACAAGACAACATGGTCTATCATTAAACCTGTATACATCTCGATGATGCACCCGACACATATGTGTGAAGTGTGCCCACGGGTCAACCAGGTGCCATCATAAATCACGTCGATGTTCCCGGGTGCGTTGCCCAACTCCGCATACAAGTCCTTGATGCAAGCAACACCAGCACCTTCACACTCGGTGGCAGTGGCACTGCAGGCTTTCTGCATTGTTTTCATGTAGCTTTGGAAGGTGTTGTGGTGCAGGCCTCGATGAGATACATTCAGGGCAGCAAAAAAGTCCGAGAGAGCTGTTGCCCCCTTACCGATGCTGCTGATGGCCTTCATTGCACACAAATTGACTTCAAAAGGCCTAATCTTGGCCTCACTGTCGCCGGCTACTCTTGGGGACGAAAAACGGTCCTCGCGGAAGTCGCAGTCACTGCACGAGAGCACAAGCTTTGAGCACAGGTTGTAGTCTTTTTTTCCCCTCGAAAAAGTCATGCTTTTCGCGCCACACTCGGGGCACACGACGAGCCCAAACAACGAGTTTATCACGGCTATGTCGACGATCGAGAATTCCGTGCCGTTTTCTTTGCCGTTGTCCTCCAGTTCAACGTCGAGTAGCTTGAACTTTCGTTCCGTCGCGCATTGTGATGCCAAGGTCTCCTTCAAATCCGCCGCATTTCTAGCGCGCTCGGCTATCTCCTCCGCACTGAAGAACATCGTGTCAACACGGTCTTGAATATTGCTTGAAGTACCAGGTGACCCGATAATGCGATCACCCAAGAAAATGCTTCAGCTAGGGCAAGCCGAGAGCACCACCGCTGGCACCGCTTCGGCTACAACAGGTAGTCGCGGCAGCGTGCCGTCGTCGGAAAGAACTCCCTCGGCCGCATCAGGAGCTCTTGGCAGCACGATATCGTCGCCTTCCTTCCATTGCGCGTTCCACGCACGCCGTTTTTCTTGCCGTACGCTTGACGAGTCTTCTTTTTTAGCCGAGGGTCTCCGCTCACACCGGCCATAGCGTTAAAACAAAAGGCAGAACACCACACGCGCGCGCAACAGCAACCGCTGCGGCAGACCGGCGGAGCAAGAAAAAAAAACTGGCGGGTCGCCTTGGACGCGCCAGCCAATGGGAAGCGCGAGACAGGGGGCTCGACTTGCGAGCGCGCGCTTTAGCCAATCGGCGGTACGGAAAGGCTTTCAGAAAAGCGGCGAGAGTTGTCGTTCTCTTGAGGCGACGCCATATTGAGGGGCCGCAAAATGAGCACAAAGAAATCAGCTTCAAAACAAGACCAAGATCGCGGCGATCGGCTCCCTGCTTCGTCGTCAGTGCGCGCGGGAAGTTTGACCAAATATTCCGTGTTGCGGAGCGTTTCGCGACTACCGTGCCGTTTTGAAATGCGATTTTATATTTCCCGATCGAATTCAGTGTTGAAGCTTTTATGGCAGGTGCTTATTGGTGCAAACATTCGAAAAATGCGGTTTTCTCAAAAACGATTTTTTGGTCATTTTTGACCATTCTAAAACCCGCGTCCTCCCTTAATGTCCCAAGATCACCATATGATTATGAGAGACGCTGTAGTGGAGGACTCCGGAAATTTCGATCACCTTGTGTTCTTTAACGCGCACCCAAATCGGAGCACACAGGCCTACAACATTTTCGCCTCCATCGAAAATGCAGCCGCCGCAGCCGGGATTCGATCCCGCGACCTGCGGGTCAGAGTACCTTGGCCACTAGACTACCACGGCGGGGCCAGTGTGCCCTAACAGCGCTTGCTGGCGATTAAAAAATTCAAGATTTCCCGCAGAGCACCATGGGCGTTCCATGGAAAAGCTAGCAACACTTTGTGGAAACTAAACCACATGACCAGTCACATGCACCCACAAGCATCTTTTGCACTCATGCCCATTCGGCATTTCTGCATTTAACCTCCTCGCTCGCAAACAGTGATGTGTGCGATTTGCCAAGCTGCCCAATGGACGCCAACATGTCACTGCTACACTGGCAAGAGTACCTCGCTGCTATCAAGCGGCATGTGATGCTTTACGCAGAGCCAGAAAGCAACGTTGAAGCTGGGTGGAAGTTCGATGTGTGGGAAAAGTCCGTGAGGAAATCAAGAAAACGAAGGACCAAGATCTTCACATGTGCTGTAACTGAAGCTGTGTTCAAAGTCAACTTTTCTTTTTTGGCTAGAAGGGGTGCAAGTTGGGAGGCCGACTTATCATCGGCAATATACAGTACATGGAAGTACTTCAGCATGACCAAGTAGCACCATTGTTCCTTTAATTGACCCGTCATGCCTGCTAGGCATTGGCAACATTGCATCTCAAATTTTTAATGGCAGCTCATTTTTTTCAACACAGCAGTAGCCCATGATGCCGCTTCCGTTCGGAACCAAAAAGCAATGACAAGAAGGGGGCAACTTAGACTAAGGGGTCAAGCACTTTTCAGCAGAATGCAATGTTTCAACTTCAGGTGCACAGTTGCCTTTCATAGCTTAGAAAAAATTTTAAAAACCCGGACATCAATGTCAAGAAACACTAGTCAGCAAAATTTGCCTGCCCTTTACGGTAACGTTATCCTAATAGAAACGAAAGTGACGCACTGTGACAGGAATGCTTGAAGAACCTCCCGCGCAGGGCTGGCAACGTATTCTTTTGTCATTAGCTCAGCGAGTAGGACCATGGCACCTTCCGTTGTTGAAGCCGGCCAGCTCACCTGATGGTCCTTCTCAGCCTGCAACAAAAGATATAAGATCGCTGGCTGAAATAGGAGCGCCCATTTGTATGTAGACAACTAGCCAAGCTTTAATTTGCAGTTTTGCTTTCCCATAAACATGTCAGCAAAAAAATATACTCTATAATCGACATAACGTATTTAGCATACAGAACAAAGTGCACATACATGCTACTACAAAAATATGTTTGGCAAGTGGGACACCACTGGATATATGAAAGCCACTTTCACACTGGATATAACTTTGTTAAAATGGATTTGAGCTATTGAAATACATTTAAAAAAATGCATTACATCAGTGGCCACTCGACTATGTGCAATACATTTGCACTATCACCATGTTCTAAGCGGTATCGAGCATACAGATGACGATGATTAAAGGGTCATGATGGGGTTGTCAGCGTTAAATCAGACTGAAGAACTCATCGGTGTCTGCCATATTGCCTTCACGCCTTCCCATGCCTACCGTTAAAGGGAGTCATTGCACTGACATTAAAGAGGCACTAAACTGAAAATATGAGTCAGTTTAGACCGGAAAAGTATACTCTGAATAATTGTCTTTAATATCGCTTTCAATATTTTAAGATAAAATCAAGATAAAACTGTCATTTTCAAATTTCGAGCCGAAATTTCTGCATGTGATTGACACGACATATTTTAAGCTGTTTCAATCGTACTTTGACCACAGCAGCTCAATTAAGTTTCTTGAAACAAGGTATGTGAAGTCCCTGGCAAGGCAATGTACTTTATACCTACCAATTATGAACTATACAGGCCCCACTAGACGCCGTGAAAATCTGTGACGTCGCAGGGTTTGGTGTGGTATTACTAAGGCGGTGTTGCCGCACACCTTTCTTTTTTGTTCGTTTTCACACTTACTTAGTGTGTTTTTAGGCAAGAGTGACAATTTTGGTATTATGCAAAATTAATTTACTAATACAAAAAAATAGTTTTTGTTTTTAAGTCAACATCATTAGTTGACCAGTCTGAATTTCATGAAATGGCCAAAGGCCTTTTGCTGCACATGTGGGGTCGCCCTCAATGTGAGTGGGGTATGCTGTTAACTTTAATAAAAAAACAGACCAGTACAGCTGAAGCAGTCAGCGAATACAATTGCCTCAACTACAATTTAGCCAAGATAATGATCATTCACCTTAATCAGGCCCAGGTTTACTATGATTTCGTTAGTAAGCCCTGATAATTGATTCTCCTTTTCCGCTAGACTGAAGGCAGCAGAGAGCAGCGAGTCTGCGCAGTTTACGGCAAATTTTCCTGAGTCACCTTCTTCACCACTGCCCAGCACTGATGCCACCTGTACGAAATGCCACACAGCATTTTAGTTGCATCCTCGATGCTTAGCAACAACGATTAATTACAGGTAATGGCAGAGTCACTACTTACTTTCATGAAGGCTGTTACATAGCTACGAATAAGGTCAGTGCCACTTGCAGTGGATTCAACCTCTCGAAGCAAATTCTGTGCACGATGACTGCCAAGCTGCGCCAGCTTGGCTGCTGTCGGAGAAAACAAGAACTCCTGCAAGAGAGCGACACATTTTGTGCCTGTTTAATGCCGTCAAAGCTTTAAGATGGCTTCAGCTCATTACAAGCACTCACAACTTTCTGGCCTGTATCAAGGTAAGGTAGAGAAAGTATATATATCCATTTTGTGCAGTGGACTCGGTGAATAAAACTGCTTCTCATATTAATGGTTTCATAGCCGAATTTCGCACCTCTGCTTACTTGTCAGTCATGAGAACTCTATTTCAATAGAACACATTTTTATCATTCTTTCAGGTACTATTTAATGAAACTCTACTGTGCACATCGACAGCATTAGTGACTGTGTATGTGTATACATGCACAGTGCGTATATTTGATACACATGACATCGACACTTTCCACTGTTTCCTACACCTCTACAATGCATGTAAAGATGAATAATTTATTACTCCAGTGAAATATAAACTGTGACAGAGTTCGAAGCAACTGCTACACTAGGCAAAGTTGCGATGGTTCTATGCAAAGCCAAATCTGCGCTATCGTAATTGGAACAAGATCTTCCTGCAAATTTATGCATATGGCAAGACAAAAGATTATCTCATCTTTTTTCATCTCCCACACCAGCAGCTTTCATGCATGTATACTTGTTCTTGAAAGTCTGGGCCGAAGGAATAAAAGTAAAAAGACGACACTAGGAAACGCTGCTAGGTACCAGACAATGAAAGTCTAACAATTAAACTAAAAGTAGAATAAATAAGAAAAGACCGTGTTGGTACAATGAACTGAAATGGGGCAGCTCTCTGTCTTCACAGCAAACCAATGGGAGAGTGGTGGTCGTCTTTGCGATGACGCCACTAGTGGGGCGCCACCGTCAGTCACATGGTGTGCCTGGCACGCGTAAATTAAATTCTCACTGCGAAACTTTTCTTCGCAGTTTTTGACTAAAATAGTCCCATCACACAATTCAAATAAAATGTATCTGCAAGATTAAAACATATCCAACACGTATAGGTGCATTAATGAGATAAATAATGCTGTTTCTGCATGGTCTGAGCTCGCACAATTCCTGTCGCAGAACAGGGACCCAGGTCGTTTGCTTGTTTACCGTTTTGCTTTCAAGAAGCATGAAAAAGCACGTTGCTATTCATTTGATCCACATGTACTCCTGCCCACTTATCACACTAACTTAAAGTCATGCGACGAAACAAACAAAGAGGCCCTGAAGGATAACGTTATCATTGGGTGAGTTCCATGACCACCACTTACTTGCATGAGCCAAGAGAGCAAGTAGTCGCAATATTAAAAAAAAAATAATAATAACGTCTAATGACAAATACTGATCTTTTCTTCAAACATTTTACTCATCAAGGGGACGTCAAAGTCGAAGAACGTAACCATAAATTATCCACAAAGTACTCAGGCTGAAGGGTTTATCTTATGTGAATAAACCCCTGGATTCCTGTTGGTCTGAAAAAAAAAAAAAAAAAACACTATGCATCAGGCTCCCACAAATACGGAGTTTTCTATGCACACGTTAAAATTCGCTAATGCATTAAGGCGCTATCACGCTACCCGCCCAGCCGCAACGCTCGTGACGGGACACCTGCCGCACCGAAGCGGGGAACAAATGAGCGAATCGGCAATGCTCTTTCATACTCCACTTGGGTGCGACAGGTGCCCCGTTATGTGCGTTGCGGCTAGGCGAGTAGCATGTGGACAGGCCCCATGAGAAACAGACGACTGCAATCGACAAGTTTCCTTTACACACACACGATCAGCGTGGCCACTAGAGCAACCAATGTCTGAGGCTTTGTATCTCAGCTTCTCATATATTACTTTAGAGTGCGCCGATAGATGGGGGCACAGTAGTACGCTGTGCTTCAGCAGCACAGGCTGTCATCGCAAAAGGAGCCATGCTTTCGGCGCCCGACAACACACTGCTCCTTCCCAGCACGTACACCATAAGGCAGGGAAGCTCTGCTATGTACTAGACAATGGAAGTGCAACAATTCACATATAAAATAAAGAGGGAAGAATAAAAGTGAAAAGACAATGCTGGGAAACTGCTAAGTACCAGACAATGAAGTGCAACAATTCTTATAAAAAAAAAAGAAAGAGAAGCCCATGGAACAGCTTGTTTCAATGTAAACTTTTGCAACAAAAACCATCTCTCTTAGAAAGTACACATGCATCTACATGCGAGTACAACATCATAACACCACAACCAACCTGTGCAACATGGTTTAATTTCTTACGGCATTGCATACCAATGTTAGTCGCAAATGATCTTTCGATCACAATCATTTGTCAGACCAAGTCACAGCCATTAAACTAGTTTCACAAACATATAGCTAATTTGTCAAGCAGCTTCACAGATGAATTAAGGTGACGGTACCACCGTCGCCATCTTGCGAGTAGTTTCTGCTTGAGCCACCAGAAGACGCCACTAAGTCACGTTTGGAAAAAAGGGGGGAAAATGCACTCTCTGCCGTCGTAGCATGCAGTGGCATGCAGTGGCGAAGAGCCTGTTCCTGCTGGAACTAATCCATTCTTTTCGGGGGTGCTGCTGCTCCCATATCTCCTTTGAAACGTTTCAAATGTGCGTGACGCCCCCCCCCCCCCCCCCCCCCCCCGCTCCCCAATAACAACAACAGCAACAAAAAAGGGCACGAACCCGAGAGCCTTTGTACTCCCGTGCAACTGTCCGGAAAAGAGGTGCCTCTCTCTCCCCTGGTAAGGTATAACTATTTACAATAGAGCGCTGAACCGTGCTGCCGCAAGGGTTACTGGAAATAATGGTTTGGTTTCTGAACCGACTCTTTCTCTTCCTCGCTAAAGAAGAGTAGAAAGAAAAAGAGTAGAAAAAGAGTAGTTCTCGAGGAAGTTCTTCAGTGGCCCTGAATACCGGCAGTGTTGGGTCGCGTGGAACAACGCCGACCTTGTGCATAGTAATTATAGATTTCTCCACTGTCAGCAGCTTTGGTTCGACTGTGAATGTAGTGTGGGTGTCGCGCATGGTCCGCTTGATACTTATGTCGCTACATTCAGAAGCTACCCAGGAAGCTCCTTTCCACTACTTCCTGGCTATCATTACACAAAGCCCCTTTTCCGTGCCTTGCAGCGAGCCAAAAATGGTGATTTTGTATGCATGAACGACAGAAGGGCTTTGCCTTTTTGCTAGCGAGAACACTATGAGCCTCATGCATCCCAAAACAGATGTATGGGGCGCAGCTGTAAACAGATGTATGGGGCGCAGGTGGCTATCAGTGGCGCCTCTATAGGCGGTGCACAAGGCGTATACACGAATGCACTGCTCAGCAGTGCAAGCTTTATTCCTGTGTTTCCAAACTTCAGTAGGCGTCGGGACGCGTTACGTTTGTTTTGCTGCGCGTGGCTGGGAACGCTAGAGTTCACGCAGCCATCCGCACTTTTCGCTGCAGTCGGGGAAATACGGCTCGCTAACTAACGGCTTGCAAAAGAGTTACTGCGCATATGCGAGTAAGCTTGTTTTCCACACGAAAGCCTCAACCACAGACTAGCAGACGAATAATTTTTTTCCCATTTACCACTAATCCCTGTCTTTCCTTTCTTTCGTTTTCTCCTTTCTCTCAGTGGAAGAGGAAACTTACAATGAGGCATAACATTACTGAAGTACGTTTTGAGAAGTCTTGGTGCTGATCCTGCCCCTTCGTATGAATGTGGAGTGGTGAACACGTTTAGAGCGAGAAAAGCAGTCAGGGAAGCAGAAGTTTTACAGGTGTTTGCAAAGTGGGCGCCAGGTGCAACACCCTCTATGACGGAGTTGCCTTGTCGGCGCTTTCGGGAAACGGGAGACAGCATGAACGAATGGATTCGCAGCGCGCCGTTGAGTACACAACGAGCGCGTAGCAATGGGCATTTCTGAGAACGCGGCATCGGCTCCTGTCGTAGTGTGATGACGTGAAGAGGCCTCAGCTAGTCTAGAGGGTATTGGCCAGGGGTCCCTCACTATTTTGCAAAGGTCAACATAAAAAAAAAAAGAAAAAAAGAAAGATTTTTTTGTCGAGCCAGGTGGCACACTTGTCACCACCCCATTATAACGGGGACGCTCATATCATCCATCCATCCAACAAGGCTGTTGCAGTGGTGGCGCGCGACGCAGAGGTAGTGATTTACGTGGACAAAAATTGAAGGCGTGCAGACTAACTATACGAACTGGTACGGGGTGTGTACGCCTGTGGAGTGTTTTAGTTTATTTACTTGATAGGTGTTTTTTTTTTGTTCTCTGGTTAGGGCGAATTAATCTTGCCCGCCCGATACAAAGGAATCAGCCTCAAATCATCAGAGTCAATGGGCCTTTTTCAGGTCCGAACAGCGCCTCCAGTGGAGATCACCGAAATCGAAACTGGGAGTCCGTGGCCTCCGAAGTTATCCGCCACGGCCCGGTAGAAAAATCTCGTAGGCCTGGTATTTTTCGGGATAATTTGCAAACGACGCCAGGTGCCCTTCAGTTCGCACCTGTCGCCGCCCTGTGCAACGTTTATAGAAGCTGTTTATAGAAGCTGTTACTCCCCCAAAACATGGCTTCAAGTCACCACCACTTGCACCACTTCGCATGCGCAGGCTAGTCTCCCGAAAAAAAGTCCATTGTTATCCTAGTTCAACCGGCGTCACGTGAAATATTCAAACACACATACACTGCCAGACACTCGTCAGTCACAAGCGCGCTTCAGATAATGTCCTACCGGCTTCAAAAATATGGGGAGGCAAGATCAAGTTCTTTGTGTCCTTCAAAAACGCTTCTACAGTCACCTGAGTACAAAGGCGAGCAACCAAGCAATTCCTGGAATCTTTGGCACAATAGCCTAACCTGCTGGCTATGCATTCCTGATGTACAGTGCAACACGCTTTATTCCCTTCTTCCTTTCTCTCTCTCCTTCTCTTTCTTTCTTTTTCAGCAGGACTTAGCCACTGAAGTCTAAAGAAGTCCATCCGTGTTTTGGCGGGTTAGTTATGAACTGACGTAAAACAACTGATGTTTTTTTTGACAGAGGGCGCCACCATCAAAAAGTGTTTGCGAGCTTTATAACTTTTGAAAAATCTTTTGTTTCAAGCACCACTTCGTAAAGTTAGTGAGTACTGGTGATTACAAGACACTACATGGTCCTGCTAATGTGTAATACTTGTTGTGAATTAGCCTACAAAAGACAAAAAAAGGAAATTTGCACGAACCTGGCAAGCAGAAAAATGAGCTAAATTCACTGCTGTCCTACAAATTTTCTAATTAACTTACGACAATTTTCTCTTCATAGAAACCTAGGGAAAGGCTTGCTGATTTATTATTGAAGATTTCAGAGTTTCAGCTTGGATAGTTTTGTCCCTTCGTCGGTAATGCCTGACCAAGTAGCGCCATAAATTGCCGTATTGAAGGAGTAATAATTCAAGAACTGTTCATCAGAACACAAAACAACTTCGCGTACACATAATGTACATTGTAGGATGGAAACTCATTCAATATTGTTGTTCTGCACAAAATAGAAAAAAAGTTATTTACTCATAAACTTTCATTCTTTTGCCCATTTTTATTAGAGCGTGCATCAATTTCTAATTGCTTTACTGGCAATATCTCAAGGCTCAGCAAATTTCATTTCGTTATGTTGGACAGTTTTGCTGCACTGGCAGTACAACGGAGGCTTGTACAGCAAAAACGCTGTTTTTTGCTCACACTGTTTTAATTGCCATTAAATAACACTCCAAACTAGGCGAAAATACTAGTTGTCATTAGAAAGCGGAGAACGTAAACTTTCTAATGCAATAGAACTCATATTCTTCCATTGAGCAGAGCAAGCACAGTGAGCCAGTAAACAACGACTAAAATGTCGAGCTCTTGCCACTGGAGTGGGACCGCCACCTTAAACACACAGAGTTTTACAAAACACAGTACCGCATTTAGCCAATCAAGATGTTGGGACAGCTCCACGTCAATTACACTGTCTTTTTTACAGTTGACTGAACCCTTGCCAAGCCTCGCATTGTTTGAATCTGGACAGGGGCTCACATTGATTGACAGGCTTCATTTCAAAAACAGTATCAGCCTGCGTGACTGCCAGTTACCTAAAAAACTGCCTGTGCTTTGTCATTACCTCTGCACTGCAGCCAGCCTCGATGTACTCCTTCTGTAATCTGCCTTTTACAGTGCTGTCACCCTCTTCTTCGCGGCCTTCTTCTTCGTCGTCGTTCTCCTCTTCATCGTCAACACCTTCGTGATCACTGTTCATGTAGCAGACAAATAAGCGGGTATTAGCATAGCAATTTGTCTTGACTTGGTTTTTTATTTTACTAGATAATGCTCTTGTGTTTAGTAATTCAGATTAATATTTTCTTGAAAAGAATAGATAGGCTGTAAACATGCTCAATAAAAACTGCCTTGTTGCATTTCGATGGTTCTTAGCATAGTTTAAGAAATTTCAGCAAGGATCATAATTAAAAATGGGGCTGCATATTTATCTAATATCTTTCCCACACCAAAACCAGTGCAAAGCCAATTAACCCATTAGGGCCCATGCAGGAACTGTTGGTTGAATTTCACAGCAAGTTTACATATTTGTCAGACTACATTACACCAAAGCAGCTGTACATTTTTATAGAGTTACATTTATCTCTTCAGCAGTTATGACACTGTACTTTGGAAAGTATGCTGGGCTGATGCCATAGCAATGAGCAAGCAAGCTAGGCTTTTCCCTAACTAATACCAAAGTTACCTTGGCATACAAGGCTTGTTGAAGCACCAACGGTTCTTACAAAGTATAACCCCACACCACACGATTCACAGCACCATGTCTTTGTTTTATGAGAGATGGTACACGTTAATAAGCTTCTTGTACAAATAACCATACGGATAGAGGGTAATAGCAGGCACACTGGGCACTGGCAATCACTCGATAGTTCTGTTGGATACAACAACGCATAAGTAGTTTCTTGCTATTTTACGCAGTTTGATCATGGAGGTGAATCTTTTCAATGCCATGGCAGTAGCTGCCGACGAGATTTGGCATTATTAAAAATAAATAAAAAAAAACTTCTGGCAAATGTACGAAAGTAGATGCACTATCGTTGGTTACACGTTGATTGGTTTCACAAGCATTCTGTTGGTGATGCAATACTGCCTTGCTGCAACAGGCTGAAATGGTAAGGAACCAGTAGGCCCTGAAAAATATGATGTCAATGTGCATACTCTAGTCGCATCGTGTTATTCCCGATCACATGTCTGGACGATAATAAGATACTCCCTAATCGGCACCTACTTTTTGAAGCAGAATAGCCTTGGCTCTGCTGAGGCTTGTACCACTCCTCCTTGTGGCCCTGGCTCTTCCGTCAGCTGCAGGGCTGGGACGTCGTTTGGATCAGATTTAACAGGAGACTGGCTTCCGGGTCTGCACAAGATCAAAGCAGTTAAGGGGTGAGGTGGGTCTTTAGACGACTTTTCTTATTTTTAGTGCCAGCTAGATGAAAATGGGCAGTCTTGAGCAGTTTGTTACGCTGATTTCAAATCTGTAATTAGTTTTTTATTAGCTGCAATAGTTCATAAAATATGGATGTCTGAAATCAAATTAGTTTCATACTCGTTACGGGGCTTTATGAAAATTTAGTCTTGCTAAACCAAAATCAGAATGCATGACACTGTTGCTAAAGATCTACTGTAGGGGGTGATGCTATTTTTATTCATTCAGAAGCATTTTACATGAAAAAAAAAAAGGATCATGAAATTACTATGAATATTTTTTTCTAATTAGCAGCCACTGCTACACCTAACTGTAAATTTCATGGGAGTGCACGAGTGATGAAAATAGCATCACCCCCCAGATCATTTCAATACGAATAAAATGATACCACATATGCCATTTTTGCTCAAATATAACACAGAAAAAACACCCGTAAGGCTGAGTACGGTGTGCAAAAACATCGAACTGAGAAGAACGCATTTGAAGTTTCAACCCAAAGTAGCTTTTCTTGAAATTAACTTACCACAATACAAATGGTACTGTTTTGTAGCTCTGTGTTTTGTGAACAGGGCCGTACTAAATGTGTGACTGCAGACTCTCAAAATAATAGTTCCGTGACCACCGAAACGGCATGAGAAACTATTTACAACGCTGTGTGTCTGTTTCAGTACACAGCAAGCAAAATAGCACTTGAACAGCATGGTAGCAAACACTTGAATAGTATAATGAAGTGGCTCTTCCATAGACAGCATATCTACGCACAATATTCCAGTCCAAAATGCTATTTTTGTCGAAAAATTGCCACTGCTGTCCACTGAAACTGCCCTACAGCATACCAGGACTGTAGGCCGAGTCTCTTGCTGGTTTGTGTCGCTTTGCAAGGCGGGTTTTTGTTGAACAGCTGTCAGTGTGCTTTTTCTTAGACTTCTCCAGCCTGATGTTGTCTTTTTAAAGGCTGCGGAGCACCGAGCGATCTCCAGGGCTATACCCTAGTTTTTCCGCGATTCCCGCATTGCTTCTCGTGACACTTTGGTTGAAGCGGATGACAGTCAGCCACTGCCCTTTCGACGCTGCGCAATGAGGTGTGCTGCGTTTTCGAAACCTGCTGCCAAATCACAGAGTGCAAGCTTTCACTGGGGTTCTGCATGAGGCCGTCGCTGCACCTTTCCAGAAGGGCCGTCTCACTAAGGCGCGTGAACACGGGCTCCAGTGCCTCGCACACAAAGTCGGGCAAGCTATGGTCGTGCGGCGGCAGCTCCTAATTGTTGGCCTCAGCCCTGTTGAATTTGCACCATGACTCGGGGCCTTCAGGACAATGCTGATGCCTGGGTGTCTGGTCAGTGGATGACATGTGCTTCAGCGTGGCCAGCACAGCCTTCTGCATCCCTGGCACATCATGCTTGCGACTGCGCAAGGCATAACCATAGTAGGAGGCGATCTTCTTGATTTTATCTTGAGTCAGCCTGCCCTTACCACCAAGTGGCTGACCTTGAGCTTTTTTTTGCCGCTGAGGGTACGCAAGGCTGCAAACATTCGTTTATGCACATGGTTTATGCAGTCTTTTTTTTTGCCACCTTGATAAAGCCGTAGACTTCATTTGTTGTGAGGGCGTGGTAGGTTTTGCTGTCCCCATCTGAAAGCATTGTCGTATATCGAAGCTTATGCTTTTCGAGTGACCGCTGGAATAATAGAAGGGCTGCTTCCACTTCCATTTGACCAGCCTTGCAATCAATATTTCTTTGGCACACAGGTGCATGATCAACAAGCCAGGCAGCGTATGCTTCGTCATTTTCTTTAGGTCCCAAGGTGCACCCCAAACAAAAGTTTGACAAGACAACATGGTCTATCACTAAACCTGTATACATCTCGATGATGCACCCGACACATGTGTGAAGTGCGCCCATGGGTCAACCAGGTGCCATCATAAATCTCGTCGATGTTCCCGGGTGCGTTGCCCAACTCCGCATACAAGTCCTTGATGCAAGCAACACTAGCACCTTCACACTCGGTGGCAGTGGCACTGCAGGCATTCTGCATTGTTTTCATGTGGCTTTGGAAGGTTTTGTGGTGCAGGCCTCGATGAGATACATTCATGGCAGCAAAAAAGTTCGAGAGAGCTGTTGCCCCCTTACCGATGCTGCTGATGGCCTTCATTGTGCTACGTCATGCAAGCGTGTTGCCAATCATGCCATGACGTCATCGCCATCGCCGAGCACATAAAAGCGAGACACGCAAAATTAAACTTCCTTGTTCTTGCTTGGTTACTGAGCCGTTCACTCGCGACGTAACAGTGGCGACGAGGCACGAATCGACGCAGTGGGAGGAGGCTTTGAAGCGCGGCTGCTGAAACAGGCAGCGATGGCGCCGGGACAGGCGCCTGCATTCACGGAAGAAGAAGGAGGCTGGTCCGCCTACAAGGTACGCTAGGAAGCATACTTTCAAGCACAGAAAATCACAGACGAGGCAAAACAACGAGCCCTGCTGGTGGCGGCTCTGTCCAATGGCGCCGTCAAAGTACTTCAGGGACGATGCCACCCCAAAAGCGTGAACGACCTCACCTACAGCGATGTCATCAAGCATCTGCAGAGCCACTACGAGCCGCAGGTCAACGAAACAGCAGCCAGCTACCGATTCTTCAAGCGCACACAGGCAGAAGGTGAGCGAGTGCGGGATTTTGTAGCCAGCCTTCGCCGCATGGCCGAAGACTGCAATTTCGGCGACATGTTGCACCGCATGCTGCGGGACCGCATTGTATGTGGTGTTCGAGACGACGACATAAGACATCTGTTGTTGACCCGCGGTTCCCTGACTTTGAAGGAAGCAGAAGACTTCGTGATGGCTGCTGAGGCCGCCGCGGAAAACGCGCAGCACATGCAGCCACTGCCCTCCTCGGTAGCCGACACAACGAATTTTGTCCGGCCGGGCCTCTCACGTTCGAAGTCGAAGAAAGCAAGTGGGCTATCTCGCAATAAGGATCAGCCTTGCACCTGCTGTGGTGCATCCTCGCACCAAGCGGATGATTGTCGTCCTCTCCGAACAGTGTGCCATCGATGCCGGAAACGCGGCCACTTGGCACGAGTGTGTAGAGCGTGGGACGAAAACACTAATCGGAGGCAACAAGCGAACGCCCTTTCGCAAGACCCACAAGAGAGTTCGGATGACTGCGAAGCTTTATACACTCTGAATGCGCATCAAGTGACGGACAGCGCGCACGTAAAGCCTATTTTGCGCCAGATAAGTTAGAACGGAGTGCCGCTCACTATGTTGGTAGACACGGGTTCACCTGTGAGTGTTATTCCGCGGTCAGTGTTCGAGCGACACCGAGGCAAATGGCCACGTTTGCAAGCCACAACAATGAAGCTGTCATGTTTCAAGGGCCCACTTCCTATCAACGAAAAATTGCAACTCAATGCGACCATGAGTGGCGCGACCATTCAGGCCGCACTTTTCGTCATCGACTGTCCGGAACCGATGCTTTGCGGCCATGACACTATCCGCAGCTTCAATACGGCAGGCGTGCCGGTACTCACTGGAAACGAGGTGCCGTGTGTGCAGGCGGAAAATGCGGACAGAATGATGGAAACCATGCTATGAAAGTACAGTGATGTCTTTGCTCCGGGGTTGGGTTCGCTCCGAGGGCCACCGGTACACCTGACCGTCAAAGAAGGCGCAAGACCCCGGTTTTGTAAGGCGCGGACGGTGCCGTATGCGCTCAAACAAATGGTATCAGCAGAGTTAGATCGGCTGGTAAACGAAGGGGTGTTATCAACGGTAACATCGGCCGAATGGGCCACACCCGTGGTGCCCGTAGTCAAGAAAGATGGACAGGTGCGATTATGCGGCGACTTCCGGCTTACGGTGAACGCAGCTACCATAATGGAGCAATATTCGCTGCCGCGGGTTGACGATATCTTTGCGAACCTCAACGGCGGAAAAGTTTTCAGCACATTGGACTTGAGGAATGCCTATAATCAGCTGCCCCTTGACGAGGACTCGAAAAGGCTAGTCGTTTTTAACACGCACAAGGGTCTCTACTGTTTCAACAAGCTGCCGTTCGGACTGTCGTCAGCGCCAGCAATCTTTCAGCGGCGCATGGAGGCCGTGCTCAGCGGGATCCCCGGCGTGTAGGTATATCTGGAAGACATAATTGTATCGGAAAAGGCAAACGACTGCAGGATCCTGGAGCAAGTGCTACAGCGCCTGAGGGAACACGGCCTGCGCCTACGACGGGAGAAATGCAAGTTCAGGCAAGAGCAAGTCACCTTTCTCGGACACTGCATCGACAGACACGGCCTACGCCCCAAAAGCGACATCACGGCACTGCTCGACGCCCCCAGCCCACTTCGGTTCCGCCGCCATGGCCAGAAACGGGCCGGAAATGGTCTCGAGTGCACATCGACTACGCAGGCCCCGTCGAAGGACACATGCTACTGGTGGTCGTAGATGCTGAAACAAAGTGGCAGGAGGCCATATCGAGGCGGAGTACGACATCAGAAGCCACCGTGGAAGCGTTGAGGCCCATATTTGCCAGGTTCGGAGTGCCACAAACACTTGTTGCAGATAATGGGCCACAGTTCGTCTCAGCCGGGTTTCAGAAGTTCGTAAGAATGAACGGGATCAACCATGTGACGACGGCGCCTTACCACCCGCAGTCAAATGGCCTGGCGGAACGCGCGGTTCGCACGATCAAGGAAGGCCTTCGAAAAAGCCAAGGGGGTGGCACATTCATTAAACGTCTCAGTCAGTTTTTCTGCCGATACCGACGGACACCGGTAAAGGCTGGGAAGTCTCCGTCCGAACTACTGCTGGGTTATCAGCTACGGACCAGGCTAGACTGTTGCCTCCTGAGTGCAGGCGGGGAACCGCGTCTTGAAGAGCGCTCCTCCACCATGCCGTTCCGTGCAGGACAGCCGGTGTGGCTGAGAAGTTTCCACAGCCGGCCAAAATGGTTGCCGGGAGTGGCAGTACCCAAGGAGCTCGGATGGCGACTGTGTCTACGCCGGACGGCGAGCAACGTCATCATGCGAACCAACTGCGGCTGCGCACACCGAAGGACTCGAACACGACGCAGCCAGGGAACGCTACAACATCCACCACCACCACTAACGAAACCTCGCCGATGCCAGCCGGCATGGCTGACCCCACGCCGGCGGGGTCGCCGCCCTCTAGCCAACCTGAGGCACCGCCGCCGCTTCGCCGGTCCAACAGGCTACGGCGACCACCTCAAAGGTTCAACTGGTAAAAGGGGGAGATGTGCTACGTCATGCAAGCGTGTCGCCAATCATGCCATGATGTCATCGCCATCGCCGAGCACATAAAAGCGAGACACGCAAAATAAAACTTCCTTGTTCTTGCTTGGTTACTGAGCCGTTCACTCGCGACGTAACACATTGCACGCAAATTGACTTCAAAAGGCCTAATCTTGGCCTCACTGTCGCCGGCTACTCTTGGGGACGAAAAACGGTCCTCACGGAAGTCGCAGTCACTGCACGAGAGCACAAGCTTTGAGCACAGGCCGTAGTCTTTTTTTCCCCTCGAAAAAGTCATGCTTTTCGCGCCACACTCGGGGCACACGACGAGCCCAAACAACGAGTTTATCACGGCTATGTCGACGATCGAGAATTCCGTGCCGTTTTCTTTGCCGTTGTCCTCCAGTTCAACGTCGAGTAGCTTGAACTTTCGTTCCGTCGCGCATTGTGATGCCAAGGTCTCCTTCAAATCCGCCGCATTTCTAGCGCGCTCGGCTGTCTCCTCCGCACTGAAGAACATCGTGTCAACACGGTCTTGAATATTGCTTGAAGTACCAGGTGACCCGATAATGCGATCACCCAAGAAAATGCTGCAGCTAGGGCCAGGCGAGAGCACCACCGCTGGCACCGCTTCGGCTACAACAGGTAGTCGCGGCAGCGTGCCGTCGTCGGAAAGAACTCCCTCGGCCGCATCAGGAGCTCTTGGCAGCACGATATCGTCGCCTTCCTTCCATTGCGCGTTCCACGCACGCCGTTTTTTCTTGCCGTACGCTTGACGAGTCTTCTTTTTTAGCCGAGGGTCTCCGCTCACACCGGCCATAGCGTTAAAACAAAAGGCAGAACACCACACGCGCGCGCAACAGCAACCGCTGCGGCAGACCGGCGGAGCAAGAAAAAAAAACTGGCGGGTCGCCTTGGACGCGCCAGCCAATGGGAAGCGCGAGACAGGGGGCTCGACTTGCGAGCGCGCGCTTTAGCCAATCGGCGGTACGGAAAGGCTTTCAGAAAAGCGGCGAGAGTTGTCGTTCTCTTGAGGCGACGCCATATTGAGGGGCCGCAAAATGAGCACAAAGAAATCAGCTTCAAAACAAGACCAAGATCGCGGCGATCGGCTCCCTGCTTCGTCGTCAGTGCGCGCGGGAAGTTTGACCAAATATTCCGTGTTGCGGAGCGTTTCGCGACTACCGTGCCGTTTTGAAATGCGATTTAATATTTCCCGATCGAATTCAGTGTTGAAGCTTTTATGGCAGGTGCTTATTGGTGCAAACATTCGAAAAATGCGGTTTTCTCAAAAACGATTTTTTGGTCATTTTGACCATTCTAAAACCCGCGTCCTCCCTTAATGTCCCAAGATCACCATATGATTATGAGAGACGCTGTAGTGGAGGACTCCGGAAATTTCGATCACCTTGTGTTCTTTAACGCGCACCCAAATCGGAGCACACAGGCCTACAACATTTTCGCCTCCATCGAAAATGCAGCCGCCGCAGCCGGGATTCGATCCCGCGACCTGCGGGTCAGAGTACTTGGCCACTAGACTACCACGGCGGGGCCAGTGTGCCCTAACAGCGCTTGCTGGCGATTAAAAAATTCAAGATTTCCCGCAGAGCACCATGGGCGTTCCATGGAAAAGCTAGCAACACTTTGTGGAAACTAAACCACATGACCAGTCACATGCACCCACAAGCATCTTTTGCACTCATGCCCATTCGGCATTTCTGCATTTAACCTCCTCGCTCGCAAACAGTGATGTGTGCGATTTGCCAAGCTGCCCAATGGACGCCAACATGTCACTGCTACACTGGCAAGAGTACCTCGCTGCTATCAAGCGGCATGTGATGCTTTACGCAGAGCCAGAAAGCAACGTTGAAGCTGGGTGGAAGTTCGATGTGTGGGAAAAGTCCGTGAGGAAATCAAGAAAACGAAGGACCAAGATCTTCACATGTGCTGTAACTGAAGCTGTGTTCAAAGTCAACTTTTCTTTTTTGGCTAGAAGGGGTGCAAGTTGGGAGGCCGACTTATCATCGGCAATATACAGTACATGGAAGTACTTCAGCATGACCAAGTAACACCATTGTTCCTTTAATTGACCCGTCATGCCTGCTAGGCATTGGCAACATTGCATCTCAAATTTTAATGGCAGCTCATTTTTTCAACACAGCAGTAGCCCATGATGCCGCTTCCGTTCGGAACCAAAAAGCAATGACAAGAAGGGGGCAACTTAGACTAAGGGTCAAGCACTTTTCAGCAGAATGCAATGTTTCAACTTCAGGTGCACAGTTGCCTTTCATAGCTTAGAAAAAATTTTAAAAACCCGGACATCAATGTCAAGAAACACTAGTCAGCAAAATTTGCCTGCCCTTTACGGTAACGTTATCCTAATAGAAACGAAAGTGACGCACTGTGACAGGAATGCTTGAAGAACCTCCCGCGCAGGGCTGGCAACGTATTCTTTTGTCATTAGCTCAGCGAGTAGGACCATGGCACCTTCCGTTGTTGAAGCCGGCCAGCTCACCTGATGGTCCTTCTCAGCCTGCAACAAAAGATATAAGATCGCTGGCTGAAATAGGAGCGCCCATTTGTATGTAGACAACTAGCCAAGCTTTAATTTGCAGTTTTGCTTTCCCATAAACATGTCAGCAAAAAAATATACTCTATAATCGACATAACGTATTTAGCATACAGAACAAAGTGCACATACATGCTACTACAAAAATATGTTTGGCAAGTGGGACACCACTGGATATATGAAAGCCACTTTCACACTGGATATAACTTTGTTAAAATGGATTTGAGCTATTGAAATACATTTAAAAAAATGCATTACATCAGTGGCCACTCGACTATGTGCAATACATTTGCACTATCACCATGTTCTAAGCGGTATCGAGCATACAGATGACGATGCTTAAAGGGTCATGATGGGGTTGTCAGCGTTAAATCAGACTGAAGAACTCATCGGTGTCTGCCATATTGCCTTCACGCCTTCCCATGCCTACCGTTAAAGGGAGTCATTGCACTGACATTAAAGAGGCACTAAACTGAAAATATGAGTCAGTTTAGACCGGAAAAGTATACTCTGAATAATTGTCTTTAATATCGCTTTCAATATCTTAAGATAAAAATCAAGATAAAACTGTCATTTCCAAATTTCGAGCCGAAATTTCTGCATGTGATTGACACGACATATTTTAAGCTGTTTCAATCGTACTTTGACCACAGCAGCTCAATTAAGTTTCTTGAAACAAGGTATGTGAAGTCCCTGGCAAGGCAATGTACTTTATACCTACCAATTATGAACTATACAGGCCCCACTAGATGCCGTGAAAATCTGTGACGTCGCAGGGTTTGGTGTGGTATTACTAAGGCGGTGTTGCCGCACACCTTTCTTTTTTGTTCGTTTTCACACTTACTTAGTGTGTTTTTTAGGCAAGAGTGACAATTATGGTATTCTGCAAAATTAATTTACTAATACAAAAAAATAGTTTTTGTTTTTAAGTCAACATCATTAGTTGACCAGTCTGAATTTCATGAAATGGCCAAAGGCCTTTTGCTGCACATGTGGGGTCGCCCTCACTGTGAGTGGGGTATGCTGTTAACTTTAATAAAAAAACAGACCAGTACAGCTGAAGCAGTCAGCGAATACAATTGCCTCAACTACAATTTAGCCAAGATAATGATCATTCACCTTAATCAGGCCCAGGTTTACTATGATTTCGTTAGTAAGCCCTGATAATTGATTCTCCTTTTCCGCTAGACTGAAGGCAGCAGAGAGCAGCGAGTCTGCGCAGTTTACGGCAAATTTTCCTGAGTCACCTTCTTCACCACTGCCCAGCACTGATGCCACCTGTACGAAATGCCACATAGCATTTTAGTTGCATCCTCGATGCTTAGCAACAACGATTAATTACAGGTAATGGCAGAGTCACTACTTACTTTCATGAAGGCTGTTACATAGCTACGAATAAGGTCAGTGCCACTTGCAGTGGATTCAACCTCTCGAAGCAAATTCTGTGCACGATGACTGCCAAGCTGCGCCAGCTTGGCTGCTGTCGGAGAAAACAAGAACTCCTGCAAGAGAGCGACACATTTTGTGCCTGTTTAATGCCGTCAAAGCTTTAAGATGGCTTCAGCTCATTACAAGCACTCACAACTTTCTGGCCTGTATCAAGGTAAGGTAGAGAAAGTATATATATCCATTTTGTGCAGTGGACTCGGTGAATAAAACTGCTTCTCATATTAATGGTTTCATAGCCGAATTTTGCACCTCTGCTTACTTGTCAGTCATGAGAACTCTATTTCAATAGAACACATTTTTATCATTCTTTCAGGTACTATTTAATGAAACTCTACTGTGCACATCGACAGCATTAGTGACTGTGTATGTGTATACATGCACAGTGCGTATATTTGATACACATGACATCGACACTTTCCACTGTTTCCTACACCTCTACAATGCATGTAAAGATGAATAATTTATTACTCCAGTGAAATATAAACTGTGACAGAGTTCGAAGCAACTGCTACACTAGGCAAAGTTGCGATGGTTCTATGCAAAGCCAAATCTGCGCTATCGTAATTGGAACAAGATCTTCCTGCAAATTTATGCATATGGCAAGACAAAAGATTATCTCATCTTTTTTCATCTCCCACACCAGCAGCTTTCATGCATGTATACTTGTTCTTGAAAGTCTGGGCCGAAGGAATAAAAGTAAAAAGACGACACTAGGAAACGCTGCTAGGTACCAGACAATGAAGTCTAACAATTAAACTAAAAGTAGAATAAATAAGAAAAGACCGTGTTGGTACAATGAACTGAAATGGGGCAGCTCTCTGTCTTCACAGCAAACCAATGGGAGAGTGGTGGTCGTCTTTGCGATGACGCCACTAGTGGGGCGCCACCGTCAGTCACATGGTGTGCCTGGCACGCGTAAATTAAATTCTCACTGCGAAACTTTTCTTCGCAGTTTTTGACTAAAATAGTCCCATCACACAATTCAAATAAAATGTATCTGCAAGATTAAAACATATCCAACACGTATAGGTGCATTAATGAGATAAATAATGCTGTTTCTGCATGGTCTGAGCTCGCACAATTCCTGTCGCAGAACAGGGACCCAGGTCGTTTGCTTGTTTACCGTTTTGCTTTCAAGAAGCATGAAAAAGCATGTTGCTATTCATTCGATCCACATGTACTCCTGCCCACTTATCACACTAACTTAAAGTCATGCGACGAAACAAACAAAGAGGCCCTGAAGGATAACGTTATCATTGGGTGAGTTCCATGACCACCACTTACTTGCATGAGCCAAGAGAGCAAGTAGTCGCAATATTAAAAAAAAAATAATAATAACGTCTAATGACAAATACTGATCTTTTCTTCAAACATTTTACTCATCAAGGGGACGTCAAAGTCGAAGAACGTAACCATAAATTATCCACAAAGTACTCAGGCTGAAGGGTTTATCTTATGTGAATAAACCCCTGGATTCCTGTTGGTCTGAAAAAAAAAAAAAAAAAAACACTATGCATCAGGCTCCCACAAATACGGAGTTTTCTATGCACACGTTAAAATTCGCTAATGCATTAAGGCGCTATCACGCTACCCGCCCAGCCGCAACGCTCGTGACGGGACACCTGCCGCACCGAAGCGGGGAACAAATGAGCGAATCGGCAATGCTCTTTCATACTCCACTTGGGTGCGACAGGTGCCCCAATATGTGCGTTGCGGCTAGGCGATTAGCATATGTACAGGCCCCATGAGAAACAGACGACTGCAATCGACAAGTTTCCTTTACACACACACGATCAGCGTGGCCACTAGAGCAACCAATGTCTGAGGCTTTGTATCTCAGCTTCTCATATATTACTTTAGAGTGCGCCGATAGATGGGGGCACAGTAGTACGCTGTGCTTCAGCAGCACAGGCTGTCATCGCAAAAGGAGCCATGCTTTCGGCGCCCGACAACACACTGCTCCTTCCCAGCACGTACACCATAAGGCAGGGAAGCTCTGCTATGTACTAGACAATGGAAGTGCAACAATTCACATATAAAATAAAGAGGGAAGAATAAAAGTGAAAAGACAATGCTGGGAAACTGCTAAGTACCAGACAATGAAGTGCAACAATTCTTATAAAAAAAAAAGAAAGAGAAGCCCATGCAACAGCTTGTTTCAATGTAAACTTTTGCAACAAAAACCATCTCTCTTAGAAAGTACACATGCATCTACATGCGAGTACAACATCATAACACCACAACCAACCTGTGCAACATGGTTTAATTTCTTACGGCATTGCATACCAATGTTAGTCGCAAATGATCTTTCGATCACAATCATTTGTCAGACCAAGTCACAGCCATTAAACTAGTTTCACAAACATATAGCTAATTTGTCAAGCAGCTTCACAGATGAATTAAACACACAGAGTTTTACAAAACACAGTACCGCATTTAGCCAATCAAGATGTTGGGACAGCTCCACGTCAATTACACTGTCTTTTTTACAGTTGACTGAACCCTTGCCAAGCCTCGCATTGTTTGAATCTGGACAGGGGCTCACATTGATTGACAGGCTTCATTTCAAAAACAGTATCAGCCTGCGTGACTGCCAGTTACCTAAAAAACTGCCTGTGCTTTGTCATTACCTCTGCACTGCAGCCAGCCTCGATGTACTCCTTCTGTAATCTGCCTTTTACAGTGCTGTCACCCTCTTCTTCGCGGCCTTCTTCTTCGTCGTCGTTCTCCTCTTCATCGTCAACACCTTCGTGATCACTGTTCATGTAGCAGACAAATAAGCGGGTATTAGCATAGCAATTTGTCTTGACTTGGTTTTTTATTTTACTAGATAATGCTCTTGTGTTTAGTAATTCAGATTAATATTTTCTTGAAAAGAATAGATAGGCTGTAAACATGCTCAATAAAAACTGCCTTGTTGCATTTCGATGGTTCTTAGCATAGTTTAAGAAATTTCAGCAAGGATCATAATTAAAAATGGGGCTGCATATTTATCTAATATCTTTCCCACACCAAAACCAGTGCAAAGCCAATTAACCCATTAGGGCCCATGCAGGAACTGTTGGTTGAATTTCACAGCAAGTTTACATATTTGTCAGACTACATTACACCAAAGCAGCTGTACATTTTTATAGAGTTACATTTATCTCTTCAGCAGTTATGACACTGTACTTTGGAAAGTATGCTGGGCTGATGCCATAGCAATGAGCAAGCAAGCTAGGCTTTTCCCTAACTAATACCAAAGTTACCTTGGCATACAAGGCTTGTTGAAGCACCAACGGTTCTTACAAAGTATAACCCCACACGATTCACAGCACCATGTCTTTGTTTTATGAGAGATGGTACACGTTAATAAGCTTCTTGTACAAATAACCGTACGGATAGAGGGTAATAGCAGGCACACTGGGCACTGGCAATCACTCGATAGTTCTGTTGGATACAACAACGCATAAGTAGTTTCTTGCTATTATGCGGGTGAATGGCAGTAGTGTCTTGCTATTATGTGGGTGAATGGCAGCAGTCAACGTGTAGCGAGTCTGCTAACTTTCACTAAGCAGATCCTCCATGCACTGAAAGCAAAGGCCCAATTCTAAGAAAATAAGCTTTAGGCATGCATTGTATATTTTTGTTGTTTGTACATCTTAGTACACTAAATAACTGCTCAGCTCTGAGCACAATCTCTTTTTTGCATAGAGATATTGATAAAACTTGAGCACTCTCTTGCAAGCAAGCACTCCTGATATCAATTAGTGGCACAAGATGTGAATCTGTCCAAATACTGGATCAATGAAAGGTCACATTTATTACAAACTTGTCATTGTGTTTACTTTTTCAGTATACTTGTGCTTGAAAACTGAAGTTCTTTTCTAACTGCTACTTTTAGAGGTTTGGACTTGAAATACGTACTACCTTACAGTGTGGCTGTGGATAAGCCGAGATCATTGATGTTTCAACTACCTGTGCGATTTCCTAGATTTTTTTCATGACGGTAGTGTACAGAATTTCCCTTTGTAGCGGTAGACATTATAGCTATGACAACTTAATTTAAACAGAAGCAGATGTGCTCGAAGAAATCTGGGTCATTTCTCTGCAATATGAAAAAAAAAAAACAGTACGCCATCCAATGAACACAATCTTACACATCGATGATTGATTGATATGTGGTGTTTGACGTCCCAAAACCACTATATGATTATGAGAGACGCCGTAGTGGAGGGCTCCGGAAATTTAGACCACCTGGGGTTCGTTAACGTGACCCAAATCTGAGCACACGTGCCTACAACATTTCCGCCTCCATCGGAAATGTAGCCGCACAATCTTACACATCCCGACAGCATTCACGTGTTTGAGGAAGCTGTGCTGCGAATGCCCAACCTTTACGATTTATTATTTTAAACCCCCTTTGAAATATGTGCAAAGCTAATGCAATTGAGTGCAGCCTTATCAGCTTTGGCACAACTTTTTGTAAACTTGTATCAGCTTAACACAGTTAATTAAGACAAAACAGTTCTGGCTGTAGTTTGTAAACTGTCTCACAGGTACAACTAAATGTCAGAAAGCCTGTTAATGCCCCTCACTATGGGGATGTTCATTTTGTAATGCATTTATAATGTCTGACGATTCACATGCTAACCATGAAGTGATCATGAGTCGTACATTAGTGGGCAAATTTAGAATGATTCTGGCTTTCAGGGGTTAAAACAAATGACCTTGTAACCTCACGGGAGACAAGACTGCTGGTCGAAACATTTGCTCTGGCACCTCGTGTTCACACATTTTTCATATTTTCAAGCTTCTATTTTTTAAGGGTCAGTTTGGTTCACCTGCACCAATGGTTCCCAGCTGTGCACAAGAAGTTCAGAACTTGTGCAGCACGAGTTTAGCAGTGCAACATCACAAGTGAATGACAAGGTGGAATCCTTATTCCTGTTTGCTTAATTTAATGAGGTGCAAAGATCTTGGCAAAACACACCGCGTTTGTAGAAGGGGGTATAGCACCTACGTCTAATGCTATGTCGTTTGTAAAAGGGGCCCTAAAACACTATTGAAGCACCTGTTTATTATTGGTGGTTTGCATTGACCGATAGCTGGAGGTAATTTTAGCATTGACCTAAGCGCAGATATCCTATGATTTAGTATTTTAATCCCGCAATAAAGTCACAACATCGCTGCCAACCGCAACAGCACGCAGTTGGGTTCATCAGAACTTTGCAGGCAGAGATGACACCGGAAGGTTCCCGCTATATGATTAGATAAATGTAACGTTAGAAGCGATCGTGACGTACGGGCGGGACTTGCATCTTGAATGTATTTTAATGAAGCTCAAGAGCCCATGCCTTTATGACCATATTCACAAACCCAAGATCTTGGTCTCTCCTAGCAGAACAACCATTAAAATATATGAAGTTGCATTGATCGGCATTTGGCTATAACATGACAGCAATGATTGATCTGAAAGTGAAAACGTTAATTATGTCAGAATATCAAGAACATAAAGGTCTTCTGATCGATGAAATCAAGCTCTCCGAGCACCTCAGCGTTTTATCATCTGGTCAGATTTAGGGCTATGTCCCCCTTGGTGCACTGTGAATTAGTTGTTCACTCTCAATTTGGGGACACACACTGCTCTGTGTGCCACCCCCTGGCTATACGCCTCTGGCCGTCGCTGTCATGTTTGGTGTAATGTCCAAATCGACAACATGTGCCTCGCGAATCGTGTTTTTTACATGCGGGTAAAAGGGCACGAGCAAGGGCGACAAATAATGTGGCTGAAGGAGAGAAAAAATTCACAGCAAATCCACGGTGTGAATTATGATGAGTGGGCGAAGCTGCACCCGTTCGTCTGTTTGTCCACCATCCTATGAAACTAAACCACACGCAACGTACACCTCAACGTCCTCTAGGGATCACGTACTGCATCAGTGCAGCACCACCTAGTGAACATTAAAGAGAAGTAAGGGGTGGTTACTACAACAGAGGGACTGAGGGGACACTAGGTAGTGGTGCGGCTTGCGGACGCATCTGCATCGGCTCCGCCAACCGATGTAGTTCCAACTGAGTCCAATGTGCTTTCCCTCCGAGATTTCTGCTGCAGTAACTCCAGGGAGTTTCAGGGAACACCTGGATACCTCATTCATCGCGGTAGGTCCACTGAAACCTCTTTTGTGGGTCCTTTCTCCGACACCAAGGGTTAAGCCTATTTGTGCTTACGCACGGCATCGGGCACCACAGCGTGGAAAGGCAGAACGCGCGGCTGCTTGTTCGGCCGAGAGCAAATCTCCAAAGAGGAAGCTGAGTCCAATGGCAGGATTATCGCCCACCGAAAGCGGAACTCGGGAAACCCGCTTCGAGCACGAGACGCGCTCGGCTAGACAAAATGGAGCCCACGTTGGCGCCGCTAAAGCCAGCCAGCTGAGAAAGGTTGCCGCAGCCTCAAGGCTGCCGCGCCTGTCTACATCACACTTTCGAGTGGTCGTCCGCCTGGGAGCAGGTCTGGACGTGCGAACATGCAGTCAGTTAAAGGTCACACAAGCCACTTTAATGGCTGCCAGGCTGCCCCCAGTGGCAGCCGAGGAGGATATCGTGTGTGCGAACGCCATGCAGAATATCTTCGTAATAAGCACACCCCCCGAATCGAACGCCATTGCATACTGCAAAGTGCAGGAAATGATCTTGGCAGATAAAAAGCACTCTATCCCGGCTTACATTACAACTCCGGGAAATACCTGTAGAGGTGTGGTCAGAGGCATCGACACCGATCTGACCGAAGCTGCACGGCAAAGCCTTTTTGTCACACTCGGAAACCCGATGGTGCTCGGAGTCAGGCGCATAAAAGAGGCTCTTAACCGTGATCATACTGTTCAATGGCATGAAAATACCCAACTATGTTTCCTGTGGCCCCAACATGCTACGCTGCACCCTGTACAAGAAGCAAATCGACACTTGCCGTAACTGCAGCCAAATCGGCCACAGGCACGACGTCTGCCCTTGACCAACTGAAAAAGTGTGTGAAAAGTGCGGGACTTCGATCGTCGCAAACGGACACGAATGTGTGCAACCGAAATGCGCGCTATGCCGAGACGCTCATATCACCGGTTACCGTACCAGAAAAAACAGGTACCAAGTTCCCTACGTTCTAAGAAGACGACGAGAAGGAAATGCGGTCACAAGACAAAGAATGCTATGAGCAACACCGGAGACCAGGGAATCGGCGCTGCTACCAAGACACCAGCTGCGGCTGCTCCCAGGAACGCCGCCACGGAACGCTCTCAGAGTTCCAGGGGTGACTTCAACTCGCAACCTACCTGGGCGGACAAGGTAGTCGGAACAGGTGAGACCCATGCCCCCGCGCAACCAGGGGAACTGCGACAGCAAACGCGGGTCAAAATACAGTCACTAGAGCGCGAGAATGCATCTCTTCAACAGGAATTATCTGATATTAGGTCAATCACGCATGAAATGCAGCAGCGAGAGCGCGCGTCTAGCGATCAAGCTACCATCACCAAGCGTCCGTCAACAGAGGCGCGAAACTACGGCGGGCCCTGAGCCCATGGACGAGGGGACGCTTTACGTCCCAGGCATCCAAATACTGCTTGAAAAGCTAAGAAATGACAATATTGTTGAAATTACTCCTATTAGGCTCCAACTGACCAAGCACATCGCGAGGCTTTCAATTTTAGAATGAGACAAGCAGCATGGACTGCTTGGTACACCCCCTTCGAGTCAGTAAAATGGCTAACGCAAGCAATCTAGTCATC